GTCTGTGTAGTAAGGGGATATTGAGAACACATCATTGTCTGTGTAGTAGGGGATATTGAGAACACATCATTGTCTGTGTAGTAGGGGATTGTGTGTGTAGTAGGGGATATTGAGGAACACATCATTGTCTGTGTAGGGGATATTGGGGATATTGAGAACACACATCATTGTCTGTGTGTAGGGGATATTGAGGGTAGTAGGGGATATTGAGAACACATCAAACTGTGTATTGTGTAGTAGGGGATATTGAGAACACATCATTGTGTGTGTAGGGGTAGGGGGATATTGAGTGAGAACACATCATTGTCTGTGTAACAGGGGATATTGAGGACACATCATAGTCGGTGTTGTAGATGATATTGAGAACACATCATTGTCCCCGTAGTAGGTGAATATTGAGGGCGCATCATACTCTGTGTAGTAGGGGATATTGAGAACATATCATACTCTGTGTGGTTGGGGGAGATTGAAGCACAGTATTGTCTGTGTGGTGTTAAAAATTGAGGACGCATAATCTGTGTAGTAGGGTATATTGAGAACATATCATTGTGTAAAAGGGGATATTGAGAACACATCATAGGCTGTGTAATAGGGGGATATTGAGAACACATCATTGTCTCTGTAGTAGGCGGATATTTAGGGCGCATCATACTCTGTGTAGTAGGGGGATATTGAAGCACAGTATTGTCTGTGGTGTTAAAAACTGGGGACGCATAATCTGTGTAGTAGGGTATATTGAGAACATATCATTGTGTAAAAGGGGATATGGAAAACACATCATAGGCTGTGTAATAGGGGAATATTGAGAACACAACATACTCTGTGTATTTGGGGGATATTGAGAACACATCATTGTCTCTGTAGTAGGCAGATATTGAGGGCGCATCATTATCTGTGTAGTGGGGGATATTGAGAACACATCATTGTCTCTGTAGTAGGCGGATATTGAGGGCGCATCATACTCTGTGTAGTAGGGGATATTGAGGACACATCATACTCTGTAGTAGGCGGATATTGAGGGCGCATTATTGTCTTTGTAGTGGGAAATATTGAGAACACATCATTTTCTGTGTAGTAGGGGATATTGAGGACATATCATTGTCTGTGTAGTAGGGAATATTGAGAACACATCATAATCTGTGTGGTAGGGGATATTGAGGAAACATTATTGTCTGTGTAGTAAGGGGATATTGAGAACACATCGAAGTCTGTGTAGTAGGGGATTTCGGTGTAGTAGGAAGATATTTTGAACACATCATAACCTGTGTAGTAGAGGGATATTGAGAAAACATCATTGTTTGTATAATAGATGGATATTGAGAACACATCATACTCTGTGTAGTAGGGGGATAATGAGAAGACATAGTCTGTTTAGTAGGGGGATATTGAGAACACATCGTAGTCTGTCTAGTAGGGGATATTAAGGACACATCATTTTCGGTGTAGTAGAGGGATATTGAGAAAACATCATTGTTTGTGTAGTAGGGGATATTGAGAAAACATCATTGTTTGTGTAGTAGGGAATATTGAGTACACATCATTGTCGGTGTATTGGGGAATATTGAGAACACATCATTGTCTGTGTAACAGGGGATATTGAGGACACATCATAGTCGGTGTTGTAGGTGATATTGAGTACACATCATTGTCTGTGTATTGGGGAATATTGAGAACACATCATTGTCTGTGTAACAGGGGATATTGAGGACACATCATAGTCGGTGTTGTAGGTGATATTGAAAACACATCATTGTCTCTGTAGTAAGCGGATATTGAGGGCGCATGATACACTGTAGTATGGTGATATTGAAGCATAGTATTGTCTGTGTGGTGTTAAATATTGAGGTCGCATAATCTGTGTAATAGGGTATATTGAGAACATATTGTCTGTCTAGTAGGGGATGTTAAGGACAAATCATTGTCTGTGTAGTAGGGGATATTGAGGACACATCATTGTCTGTGTAAGGGGATATTGAGAACACATCATAACTTGTGTAGTAGGGGATATTGAATACACATCATTGTCTGTGTAAAGGGATATTGAGAACACATCATAATTTTTGTAGTAGGGGATATTGAGGACACATCATTTTCTGTGTAGTAGGGGATATTGAGGACACATCATTGTCGGTGTAATAGGGGGATAGTGAGAACACATCATTTTCTGTGTAGTAGGGGATATTGAGGACACATCATTGTCGGTGTAATAGGGGGATAGTGAGAACACATCATTTTCTGTGTAGTAGGGGATATTGAGGACACATCATACTCTGTTTAGTAGGGGGAAATTGAGAGCACATAAACTGTGTAGTAGGGGATATTGAGGAAACATTATTGTCTGTGTAGTAAGGGGATATTGAGAACACATCGTAGTCTGTCTAGTAGGGGATATTAAGGACACATCATTTTCGGTGTAGTAGGAAGATATTTTGAACACATCATAATCTGTGTAGTAGAGGGATATTGAGAAAACATCATTGTTTGTGTAGTAGGGGATATTGAGAAAACATCATTGTTTGTGCAGTAGGGAATATTCAGTACACATCATTGTCTGTGTATAAGGGGTATACTGAGAACACATCATTGTGTAGTAGGGGAATATTGAGGACAAATCATAGTTTGTGTAGTAGGATATATTGAGAACACATCATTGTCTGAGTAGTAGGGGATATTGAGAACACATCATACTGTGTAGTAGGGGGATATTGAGAACACATCATACTCTGTTTAGTAGGGGGAAATTGAGAAGACATAAACTGTGTAATAGGGGGATATTGAGGAAACATCATTGTATGTGTAGTAGAAAAATATTTTGAACACATCATTGTCTGTGTAGTAGGGGAATATTGAGGACACATCATAGACTCTGTAGTAGGGTATATTGAGGACACATCATAGTTTGTGTAGTAGGATATATTGAGAACACATCATACTCTGTGTGGTAGGGGATATTGAGAACACAGTATTGTCTGTGTAGTATGGGAATATTGAGAACACATCATAATCTGTGTGGTAGGGGATATTGAGAACACAGTATTGTCTGTGTAGTATGGGAATATTGAGAACACATCATAATCTGTGTAGTAGGGTATATTGATAATACATCATTGTCTGTGTAACAGGGGATATGGAAAACACATCATAGGCTGTGTAATAGGGGAATATTGAGGATACATCATAGACTGTGTGTTGTAGGGGTATATTGAGAACACATCATAGTTTGTGTAATAGATAGATATTGAGAACACATCATACTCTGTGTAGTAGGGGGATATTGAGAACACATAAAATGTGTAGTAGGGGGATATTGAGAACACATCATACTCTGTGTAGTAGGGGGTTATTGAGAACACATCACACTTTGTGTAGTTGGGGATATTGAGAACACATCATACTCTGTGTAGTTTGGGATATTGAGAACACATCATACTCTGTGTAGTTGGGGATACTGAGAACACATCATTGTGTAGTAGGGGAATATTTAGGACAAATCATAGACTGTCAAGTAGGATATATTGAGAACACATCATTGTCTGAGTAGTAGGGGATATTGAGAACACATCATAGGCTGTGTAACAGGGGAATATTGAGAACACATCATAGTCTGTGTAGTAAGGGGATATTGAGGACACATCATAGTCTGTGTAGTAGAGGATATTGAGGACACATCATGATCTGTGTAGTAGGGGATATTGAGGACACATTATTGTCCTTGTAGTGGGGAATACTGAGAACACACCATACTCTGTGTATTTGGGGGATATTGAGAACACATCATTGTCTCTGTAGTAGGCAGATATTGAGGGCGCATCATTATCTGTGTAGTGGGGGATATTGAGAACACATAATTGTCTGTGTAGGGGGGATATTGAGAACAAATCAGACGGGGGATATTGAGAACAAATCATTGTCTGTGTAGTAGGAAGATATTTTGAACACATCATAATTTTTGTAGTAGGGGATATTGAGGACACATCATTTTCTGTGTAGTAGGGGATATTGAGGACACATCATCGTCGGTGTAATAGGGGGATAGTGAGAACACATCATTTTCTGTGTAGTAGGGGATATTGAGGACACATCATACTCTGTTTAGTAGGGGGAAATTGAGAGCACATAAACTGTGTAGTAGGGGATATTGAGGAAACATTATTGTCTGTGTAGTAAGGGGATATTGAGAACACATCGAAGTCTGTGTAGTAGGGGATTTCGGTGTAGTAGGAAGATATTTTGAACACATCATAACCTGTGTAGTAGAGGGATATTGAGAAAACATCATTGTTTGTGTAATAGATGGATATTGAGAACACATCATACTCTGTGTAGTAGGGGGATAATGAGAAGACATCATAGTCTGTTTAGTACGGGGATATTGAGAACACATCATTGTCTGTGTAACAGGGGATATTGAGGACACATCATAGTCGGTGTTGTAGGTGATATGGAGAACACATCATTGTCTATGTAGTAGAATAAATTAGAAAACATCAGGTGTAGTATGGGAAATATTGAAACATCATCATTGAGAACACATCATTGTGTAGTAGGGGAATATTGGACACATCATACTGTGTTAGGATATATTGAGAACACATCATAGTCTGTGTAGTAGGGGATATTGAGAACATATAAACTGTGTAGTAGGGGGATATTGAGAACACATCATAGTCTGTCTAGTAGGGGATATTGAGGACAAATCATTGTCTGTGTAGTAGAAAGATATTTTGAACACATCATAATCTGTGTAGTAGGGGATATTGAGAACACATCATAGTCTGTGAAGTTGGGGATATTGAGAACACATCGTTGTCTGTGAAGTGGGGAATATTGAGAACACATCATTGTCTGTGTAACAGGGGATATTGAGGACACATCATAGTCGGTGTTGTAGATGATATTGAGAACACATAATTGTCCCAAGAGAACTACAAACAACAGAAGTATGTAGGCTTAATGCATCTATATTACCTTGTGGAGGCATAAAAAATTGAAATCATTGATGAATTGTATTGCATCACTTTAATCTTTCCAGTACCTTACTGGTACATATCCCAGTTATCTGCCCTTGATTCTACTGACAGATAGTGCATGCAAAAATTGTAGTTATTCTGCAGAGTGGCCTATAAATATCTATACAATTACACAGATAAATACATTAAAGTTACCCTTTATAACACAATAATTTTCAAATGAAATCAACTTAACTTCTGAAATAATTTCAACCTGAAACAGAATGCACTAACTTTCTTGTTACTCTACACATAGAAGCAAAATAGTACACAAAAAAAAACCCCAAAAAATACAAATTCCCACCTGATTGAGAAAAATAAAATGTTTTCCCACTCTCACAAAAAAGAAAAATGCATTACAGGACTCTACTCTTAATATTTAATTTTAGCGGTAGAAGGGTTTGCCATACACCTAAGGAGTTTTATCAGAACACACAGTTAAATCACCATATCATACAGCTTACTTCACCATATCATACAGATTACTTCACCATATCATACAGCTTACTTCACCATATCATACAGATTACTTCACCATATCATACAGCTTACTTCACCACAGCTTACTTCATCATATCATACAGCTTACTTCACCACAGCTTACTTCACCATATCATACAGCTTACTTCATCATATCATACAGCTTACTTCACCACAGCTTACTTCACCATATCATACAACTTACTTCACCATATACAGCTTACTTCACCATATCATACAGCTTACTTCACCATATACAGCTTACTTCACCATATCATACAGCTTACTTCAACATAACAAACAGCTTACTTCACCATATCATACAGCTTACTTCAACATAACAAACAGCTTACTTCACCATATCATACAGCTTACTTCACTATATCATACAGCTTACTTCACCACAGCTTACTTCACCATATCATACAGCTTACTTCACTATATCATACAGCTTACTTCACCGTGACATACATCTTACTTTACCACAGCTTACTTCACCATATCATACAGCTTACTTCACCATATCATACAGCTTACTTCACCACAGCTTACTTCATCATATCATACAGCTTACTTCACCACAGCTACCATATCATACAGCTTACTTCACCATATACAGCTTACTTCATCATATCATACAGCTTACTTCATCATATCATACAGCTTACTTCACCACAGCTTACTTCACCATATCATACAACTTACTTCACCATATACAGCTTACTTCACCATATCATACAACTTACTTCACCATATACAGCTTACTTCACCATATCATACAGCTTACATCACCACATCATACAGCTTACTTCACCGTGACATACATCTTACTTTACCATATCATACAGCTTACTTCACCATATCATACAGCTTACTTCACCACAGCTTACTTCATCATATCATACAGCTTACTTCACCACAGCTACCATATCATACAGCTTACTTCACCACAGCTTACTTCACCATATCATACAGCTTACTTCACCACAGCTTACTTCACCACATCATATAGCTTACTTCACCACAACTTACTTCATCATATCATACAGCTTACTTCACCGTATCATACAGCTTACTTTACCGCAGTTTACTTCACCATATCATACAGTTTACTTCACCATATCATACAGCTTACTTTACCACAGCTTACTTCATCATATCATACAGCTTACTTCATCATATCATACAGCTTACTTCACCACAGCTTACTTCACCATATCATACAACTTACTTCACCATATACAGCTTACTTCACCATATCATAAAGCTTACTTCACCATATCATACAGCTTACATCACCATATCATACAGCTTACTTCACTGTAACATACAGCTTACTTCACCATAACATACAGCTTACTTCACCATATCATACAGCTTACATCACTATATCATACAGCTTACTTCACCATATCATACAGCTTACTTCAACATAACATACAGCTTACTTCACTATATCATACAGCTTACTTCACCATATCATACAGCTTACTTCACCGTAACATACAGCTTACTTCACTGTAACATACAGCTTACTTCACCATATCATACAGCTTACATCACCATATCATACAGCTTACTTCACCGTAACATACAGCTTACTTCACTGTAACATACAGCTTACTTCACCATATCATACAGCTTACTTCAACATAACATACAGCTTACTTCACCATATCATACAGCTTACTTCACTATATCATACAGCTTACTTCACTGTAACATACATCTTACTTTACCATATCATACAACTTACTTCACCATATACAGCTTACTTCACCATATCATACAGCTTACTTCACCATATACAGCTTACTTCACTATATCATACAGCTTACATCACCATATCATACAGCTTACATCACCGTAACATACAGCTTACTTCACTGTAACATACAGCTTACTTCACCATATCATACAGCTTACTTCAACATAACATACAGCTTACTTCACCATATCATACAGCTTACTTCAACATAACATACAGCTTACTTCACCATATCATACAGCTTACTTCACCATATCATACAGCTTACTTCACCATATCATACAGCTTACTTCACCACAGCTTACTTCACCATATCATACAGCTTACTTCACCACAGCTTACTTCACCATATCATACAGCTTACTTCACCATATCATACAGCTTACTTCACCATATCATACAGCTTACTTCACCGTAACATACAGCTTACTTCACTGTAACATACAGCTTACTTCACCATATCATACAGCTTACTTCAACATAACATACAGCTTACTTCACCATATCATACAGCTTACTTCACCATATCATACAGCTTACTTCACCACAGCTTACTTCACCATATCATACAGCTTACTTCACCATATCATACAGCTTACTTCACCATATCATACAGCTTACTTCACCATATCTTACAGCTTACTTCACCACAGCTTACTTCACCACAGCTTACTTCATCATATCATACAGCTTACTTCACCATATCATACAGCTTACTTCACCATATCATACAGCTTACTTCACCAAAGCCTACTTCACCATATCATACAGCTTACTTCACCACAGCTTACTTCATCATACAGCTTACTTCACCACAGCTTACTTCACCACAGCTTACTTCATCATATCATACAGCTTACTTCACCATATCATACAGCTTACTTCACCACAGCTTACTTCACCATATCATACAGCTTAGTTCATCATATACGGCTTACTTCACCATATCATACAGCTTACATCACCACAGCTTACTTCATCATATCATACAGCTTACTTCACCACAGCTTACTTCACCACAACTTACTTTACCATATCATACAGCTTACTTTACCACAGCTTACTTCACCATATCATACAGCTTACTTCACCATATCATACAGCTTAATTCACCACAGCTTACTTCACCATATCATACAGCTTAGTTCATCATATCATACAGCTTACTTCACCACAGCTTACTTCATCATATCATACAGCTTACTTCACCACAGCTACCATATCATACAGCTTACTTCACCACAGCTACCATATCATACAGCTTACTTCACCACAGCTTACTTCACCATATCATACAGCTTACTTCACCACAGCTTACTTCACCACAACTTACTTCATCATATCATACAGCTTACTTCACCGTATCATACAGCTTACTTTACCGCAGTTTACTTCACCATATCATACAGTTTACTTCACCATATCATATAGCTTACTTTACCACAGCTTACTTCATCATATCATACAGCTTACTTCATCATATCATACAGCTTACTTCACCACAGCTTACTTCACCATATCATACAACTTACTTCACCATATACAGCTTACTTCACTATATCATACAGCTTACTTCACCATATCATACAGCTTACTTCACCGTAACATACAGCTTACTTCACTGTAACATACAGCTTACTTCACCATATCATACAGCTTACATCACCATATCATACAGCTTACATCACCATATCATACAGCTTACTTCACCGTAACATACAGCTTACTTCACCATATCATACAGCTTACATCACCATATCATACAGCTTACTTCACCGTAACATACAGCTTACTTCACTGTAACATACAGCTTACTTCACCATATCATACAGCTTACTTCAACATAACATACAGCTTACTTCACCATATCATACAGCTTACTTCACCATATCATACAGCTTACTTCACTGTAACATACATCTTACTTTACCATATCATACAACTTACTTCACCATATACAGCTTACTTCACCATATCATACAGCTTACTTCACCATATACAGCTTACTTCACTATATCATACAGCTTACATCACCATATCATACAGCTTACTTCACCGTAACATACAGCTTACTTCACTGTAACATACAGCTTACTTCACCATATCATACAGCTTACTTCAACATAACATACAGCTTACTTCACCATATCATACAGCTTACTTCACCATATCATACAGCTTACTTCACCACAGCTTACTTCACCATATCATACAGCTTACTTCACCATATCATACAGCTTACTTCACCACAGCTTACTTCACCATATCATACAGCTTAGTTCATCATATCATACAGCTTACTTCACCAAAGCCTACTTCACCATATCATACAGCTTACTTCACCACAGCTTACTTCATCATATCATACAGCTTACTTCACCACAGCTTACTTCACCACAGCTTACTTCACCATATCATACAGCTTACTTCACCACAGCTTACTTCACCATATCATACAGCTTACTTCACCACAGCTTACTTCACCATATCTTACAGCTTACTTCACCACAGCTTACTTCATCATATCATACAGCTTACTTCACCATATCATACAGCTTACTTCACCACAGCTTTCTTGACCATATCATACAGCTTACTTCACCACAGCTTACTTCACCATATACAGCTTACTTCACCAGCTTACTTCACCATATCATACAGCTTACTTCACCACAGCTTTCTTGACCATATCATACAGCTTACTTCACCACAGCTTACTTCACCATATCATACAGCTTAGTTCATCATATACAGCTTACTTCACCAAAGCCTACTTCACCATATCATACAGCTTACATCACCACAGCTTACTTCATCATATCATACAGCTTACTTCACCACAGCTTACTTCACCACAACTTACTTTACCATATCATACAGCTTCACCACATCTTACTTTACCACAGCTTACTTCACCATATCATACAGCTTACTTCACCATATCATACAGCTTAATTCACCACAGCTTACTTCACCATATCATACAGCTTAGTTCATCATATCATACAGCTTACTTCACCACAGCTTACTTCACCATATCATACAGCTTACTTCACCACATCTTACTTCACCATATTATACAGCTTACTTCACCATATCATACAGCTTACTTCACCATATCATACAGCTTACTTCACCACAGCTTACTTCACCATATCATACAGCTTAGTTCATCATATCATACAGCTTACTTTACCACAGCTTTCTTCACCATATCATACAGCTTACTTCACCACAGCTTACTTCACCATATCATACAGCTTACTTCACCATGTCATACAGCTTAATTCACCACAGCTTACTTCACCATATCATACAGCTTAGTTCATCATATCATACAGCTTACTTTACCACAGCTTACTTCACCATATCATACAGCTTACTTCACCATATCATACAGCTTACTTCACCACAGCTTACTTCACCATTTATACCAGTTATCTCATCACACCTCATCAATCACCTGTACATTACATAATACCACTGGTCTGCCTTAGTTGACATTTCCAACTTACCAATAGTTGATAAAGATTAAAATGTTTGATATTTAAATACTTCTGACCTATCTACAGCATTGTTAATTCTCTTCTAAGAAAATACTCCAATTTACTTTAGGTGTGATATTTCTTCAAATTACAGTTGTAATGATCACAGGGATTTGGCATGAATTAGTGACGAACAGTCCATCTATACATTGTATGTATTATTAGAGACTATAATACATATATATATGGACAGTGGGTTGAGAATTTGTGCCAAATTCCTTTGATAATGATAAGGAAAATATTGTTTTGGCAGGAATTAAGTCAAAACAATACATTTTCATTCAGATCATTGTAACTTACTACATTCAAATGTTTTAAAGTCACAACCAACTTATTTACCCAAATTTTAAAGTAAAATGACATGCAAAATAATGTATCACAAACGCGTAAAATATTGATGATTCATGACTGTTAGCATTGTTCCTTTGACACTGATAACATCCCATTTTCTCATGACAGGAGTGTTTATATTATTCCATTAAATGTTTGGATTGTTAGAGCATACTGTCTGTAAGTCTCAATCCTCACCCCAAGCCTCAATCGTTTCTCTAAACCTCCATCCTCTCTCCTACCCTTCATCCACTCCCAAAACCTGTATCTTCTTCCCAAGCTTTAATCCTCTTCCAAAACCGTATACCCAAGCCACCATCCACTCCCTAAACCTGTATCTTCTTCCCAAGCTTTAATCCTCTTCCAAAACCGTATACCCAAGCCACCATCCACTCCCTAAGCCTGTATCTTCTTCAAAAGCTTTAATCCTCTTCCAAAACCATATACCCAAGCCACCATCCACTCCCTAAGCCTGTATCTTCTTTCAAAACTTTAATCCTCTTCCAAACCCTATATCCTACCCTTGATCCACTCCCATCCCCTACCCAAGTCTTCTCCACACATTCAGTTGATTCTCAGTTGTGTCCCTTAGCCTCCATCCTCTCCCAAAGTCAGCATTATTTAACATTGTCTCAATCCTCTCCCCATGCATCCATCCTTGACCCAGCCTCACATTCATCTTCTTCTCAATTCTCCATCCATTCCCCAAGCTTGCATCTTCTCCATAATTCTTAATCTTTTTCCAAAGCCTACATCCTTGCCTCCATCTCCCCAAGCCCTCATCTCTTTTTGCCTCCATCATCTCCTGCAAATAAATTCCATTCCTCTCCTCCATCTCCACCATTGCTTTCCTAGGCTCTTTATTCTCCACTGCCTCCATCTTCTCCAAAACTGGATCCTCTCCTTTGGCCTACGTTCTTTCCAAAAGACTTCATACTCTACCCAGTCTTTATCCTTACCTCGACCTCAATCCTCCCCTAGTCTTCATATTCTCCCAATCCCTGATATTTCCCCCAGCCTCAGTCCTTGCAGCAACTTCCATCCATGTCCCTGCCTCAGTCCTTTCCCCGGCCTCCATCCTCTCCCTAGCACTTGTCCTTTCCTCTGCCTCAATCTTCGCCCAAGCCTCCATCGTCTCCCCAGCCTCCATCCTAATGCCTGCCTTAGTCCTCCCCTCAACCTCCATCCTCATGCCTGCCTCAGCCTTCACCCCAGCCTCCATCCTAATGCCTGCCTCAGTCTTCACCCCAGCCTCCATCCTCATGCCTGCCTCAGTCCTCACCCCAGCCTCCATCCTCATGCCTGCCTCAGTCTTCACTCCAGCCTCCATCCTAATGCCTGCCTCAGTCCTCACCCCCAGCCTCCATCCTCATGCCTGCCTTAGTCCTCACCCCAGCCTCCATCCTCATGACTGCCTCAGTCCTCACCCCAGCCTCCATCCTCGTGCCTGCCTCAGTCTTCACCCCAGCCTCCATCTTCATGCCTGCCTCAGTCCTCGCCCCAGCCTCCATCGTCCCCCCAGCCTTCATCCTCGCCCCAGCCTCCTTCAGTAACCTGTAAATATATTATGTCTAGACAGATTTGTGTTATGATATGGAAATCATCATCTTCACAAAATAAGGTATTTAACAGCATTACATATAGTGACTTGATCTTTTAGCAGGGCCAACACAAACATCATATATATCTATCATCACATACTCACTGTATGTTTGTAGTATTCTACAGCTAGGATGCTTAAAAAACTAGCTAAACATATTGTTATAAAATAAACCTAACATGCCCATACAAGCCATGCCTATTTTCATTTACATTATGTTCAAACTCATTTTAGTCAAACCTACTGACATATTTGATGTTCATGCTTATGTTATGGTGTATGACAGCAAAAGAGATTTTTTCTTTATTCATCATTGTTTTTTGGAAAAAAAGTCATAAAGGGATACCAATGTGTAGTTATAGGAATGAGCGTGTCTGATAATTACAATATCAATGACTCAAGTGGACCAGTTTTATTTAGGCCTATAAACCTAGAGTAACATTAAAACCACATTATCTTATAGTGTATGGTGATTTTATGTATTATTCACATAATAATAAGTGATGACCTTTACAACAGTAAACTACAGCAAGGAAATTGATACATCTATTCAAAAAGGAACCTAACTACTCACAGAGTACCTGGTTCATGTTCTCACATTTAGAGAAAGAATAAAGGAAAAACTGGGGTACTCACATTCTCTGTTTCTGCAACATTGTATTTCATGCTTATTGTGGAAGTACTTTTGTCACCTGACAAAGGCATGTTTGCTATTCTAGCTTCCTTCACATCAGTTCCAGCTGTTGCAGCATCTCTGACAACAGTAGTAGCAGTTCCAATGTCACTAGCAGTTGTGCCAGTATTTCCAGAAAATGTAGAAATTGTATGCGTTATATGTGGAGTCATATCCGCAAAGAAGTCACATACCTCTTTTTCTGCTTGTATTTTCTTGACCTCAATATCCATGATGTACTCTGAGCCAAGGGCTCTAGTCTTGATTGAAGGTTTAGGTTTTTTAACAGATTTAAGTGACAGAGCAGATGATGACTTGCCTGTTACTGACAAACTGTTCTGAAGGTCATTATTAGGACTACATATTGAATCAGTATTTTTGTTGTTAATTTGATTAGCTGCTGACCAATCAGAATCCCAGTCTGTTGACTCAGAAAGAAATACTCCTGTTGACTCCATTACTCTTTCATCATCACTAATCACATGCTTGGTTTGTAGATCATCTATCACAGACTCAAACTGACTCAATTCGCTGTCATCTACATCAAACTGTTCCTCGTTTGTGTCATCCCATCCAGTCCAATCCTCCGGATCTTGATCTTTCCTGATGTCACTTGCCAAATTTTCATCTGATCCACTGACATCCCTGTGTGTGTGGTCTGTTGTCTCCGTAGTGAGATCTTCACTCAACTCTTCCACACCATATCCAACAATCTCATCCCCTTCACTGACTGTTATCTTTTCGGATTTCACTGTAACACAAACAAACCTTTAAGGGCACTGACTGGCATTCTTCTGTTTGATATTTAGTATTTAACTTAAACTGTCATCAATACCTACATACATGTACAATGACTTTCCATATTTTGGTTAACTTTAACTATGCTTTGTTTCATATTAGGCCTTTACGTCAATTTCCATAACCACAGAATATTTAACATTTTGTGCAATTTTGTAAGGAATCCCTCATTATATCAAAACTTCAGTATGTATTGACTACAGCTGTGCATGTGTATAACTTTAGGATGAACTGACGATAGCTGTCCATGTGGACAACTTCATCTTGTGTTGACTACAGCTGTGCAGGTGTATAACTTCAGTGTGTATTGACTATAGCTGGACATGTGTATAACTTCAGTATGAATGACTACAGCTGTGTATGTGGACAACTTCATCTTGTGCTGAATACATGACTACAGCTGTGAATGTGTATAACTTCAGTATGTTCTGACTACAGCTGTGCATGTGGACAACTTCATCTTGTTCTGACTACATGACTACAGCTGTGCATGTGTATAACTTCAGTATGTATTGACTACAGTTGTGCATAACAGTATGTATTGACTACAGCTGTGCATGTGGACAACTTCAGTATGTATTGACTACAGCTGTGCATGTGTATAACTTAATCTTGTGCTGACTACATGACTACAGCTGTGCATGTGTATAACTACAGTATGTATTGACAACAGATGTGAATGTGTATAACTTCAGTATGTATTGAATACAGCTGTGCAGGTGTATAATTCAGTATGTACTGACTACAGCTGTGCATGTGTATAACTTCAGTATGTATTGACTACAGCCGTGCATGTGTAAAACTTCAGTATGTATTGAACACAGCTGTGCATGTGTATAACTCAGCTATGCATGTGTATAACTTATCTTGTACTGACTACATGACTACAGCTGTGCATGTGTATAACAACAGTATGTATTGACAACAGATGTGAATGTGTATAACTTCAGTATGACTACATGACTACAGCTGTGCATGTGTATAACTTAATCTTGTGCTGACTATATGACTACAGCTGTGCATGTGTATAACTGACTACAGCTGTATGTGTATAACTTCAGTATGTACATGACTACAGCTGTGCATGTGTATAACTTCAGTATGTATTGACTACAGCTGTGCATGTGTATAACTTCAGTATGTATTTACTACAGCTGTGCAGGTGTATAACTTCAGTATGTATTGACTACAGCTATGCATGTGGACAACTTCATCTTGTGCTGACTACATGACCACAGCTGTGCATGTGTATAACTTCAGTATGTACTGACTACAGCTGTGCATGTGGACAACTTACAGCTGTATGTGTATTGACCACAGCTGTGCATGTGTATAAGTTCAGTATGTATTGACTACAGCTGTGCATGTGGACAACTTCAGTATGTATTGACTACAGCTGGGCATGTGTATAACTCAGTATGTATTGACTACAGTGCATGTGTATAATTCAGTATGTACTGACTACAGCTGTGCATGTGTATAACTTCAGGATGTATTGACTACAGCCGTGCATGTGTAAAACTTCAGTATGTATTGACTACAGCTGGGCATGTGTATAACTTCAGTATGTACTGAGTACAGCTGTGCATGTGTATAACTTAATCTTGTGCTGACTACATGACTACAGCTGTGCATGTGTATAACTTCAGTATGTATTGACTACAGCCGTGCCTGTGTAAAACTTCAGTATGTATTGACTACAGCTGTGCATGTGTATAACCTCAGTATGTATTGACTACAGCTGTGCATGTGTATAACTTCAGTATGTATTGACTACAGCTGTGCATGTGTATAACTTCAGTATGTATTGACTACAGCTGTGCATGTGTATAACTTCAGTATGTATTGACTACAGCCGTGCATGTGTAAAACTTCAGTATGTATTGAACACAGCTGTGCATGTGTATAACTTATCTTGTACTGACTACATGACTACAGCTGTGCTTGTGTAAAACTTCAGTATGTATTAAACACAGCTGTGCATGTGTATAACTTATCTTGTACTGACTACATGACTACAGCTGTGCATGTGTATAACTTCAGTATGTATTGACTACAGCTGTGCATGTGTATAACTTCAGTATGTATTGACTACAGCTGTGCATGTGTATGTATTGACTACAGCTGTGCATGTGTATAACTTCAGTATGTATTGACTACAGCTGTGCATGTGGACAAATTCAGTATGTATTGACTACAGATGTGAATGTGTATAACTTCAGTATGTATTGACTACAGCTGTGCATGTGTATAACTTCAGTATGTATTGACTACAGCTGTGCATGTGTATAACTTAATCTTGTGCTGACTACATGACTACAGCTGTGCATGTGTATAACTTCAGTATGTATTGACTACAGATGTGCATGTGTATAACTTCAGTATGTATTGACTACAGCTGTGCATGTGTATAACTTCAGTATGTATTGACTACAGATGTGAATGTGTATAACTTCAGTATGAATGACTACAGCCGTGCTTGTGTACAACTTCAGTATGTATTAAACACAGCTGTGCATGTGTATAACTTCAGTATTGTATACACTGTGAATGTGTATAACTTAACTATGACTACAGCTGTGCATGTGTATAACTTCAGTATGTATTGACTACAGACTACAGCTGTGCATGTGTATAACTTCAGTATGTATTGAACTACAGCTGTGCATGTGTATAACTTACTCTTGTGCATGTGTATAACTACAGTATGACTACAGCTGTGCATGTGTATAACTTCAGTATGTATTGACTACAGCTGTGCATGTGTATAACTTCAGTATGTATTGACTACAGATGTGAATGTGTATAACTTATCTTGTATGTACATGACTACAGCTGTGCATGTGTATAACTTCAGTATGTATTGACTACAGCTGTGCATGTGTATAACTTCAGTATGTATTGTATGTGCATGTGTATAACTTCAGTATACATGACTAAAGCCGTGCATGTGTAAAACTTCAGTATGTATTGAACACAGCTGTGCATGTGTATAACTTATCTTGTACTGACTACATGACTACAGCTGTGCAAGTGTATAATTTAGTATGTACTGACTACAGCTGTGCATGTGTATAACTTCAGTATGCATTGACTACAGCTGTGCATGTGTATAACTTCAGTATGTATTGACTACAGCCATGCATGTGTAAAACTTGTATAACTACAGCTGTGCTATGTATGACTACAGCTGTGCATGTGTAAAACTTCAGTATGTATTGACTACAGCTGTGCATGTGTATAACTTCAGTATGTACTGACTACAGCTATGCATGTGTAAAACTTCAGTATGTATTGACTACAGCTGGGCATGTGTATAACTTCAGTATGTACTGAGTACAGCTGTGCATGTGTATAACTTAAGTATGTATTGACTACAGCTGTGCATGTGTATAATATGTATGTATTAACTACAGCTACAGCTGTGTGTATAACTTGACTACAGCTGTGCATGTGTATAACTTCATGTATTACAGCTGTGCATGTGTAACTTCAGTACTGACTACATGTGCATGTGTATAACTACATGACTATTGTACAGCATGTGCAGTATGTATTGACTACAGCTGTGCATGTGTATAACTTCAGTATGTATGACTACAGCTGTGCATGTGTATAACTTCAGTATGACTACAGCTATGCATGTGTATAACTTCAGTATGTATTGACTACAGCCGTGCATGTGTAAAACTTCAGTATGTACTGACTACAGCTGTACATGTATACAACTTCATCTTGTGCTGACTACTTCTGTGCATGTGTATAACTTCAGTATGTATTGACTACAGCTGTGCATGTGTATAACTTCAGTATGTACTGACTACAGCTATGCATGTGTAAAACTTCAGTATGTATTGACTACAGCATGTGCATGTGTATAACTGTGCATGTGTATAACTACAGTATGTATTGACAACAGATGTGAATGTGTATAACTTCAGTATGTATTGAATACAGCTGTGCAGGTGTATAATTCAGTATGTATTGACTAAAGCCGTGCATGTGTAAAACTTCAGTATGTATTGAACACAGCTGTGCATGTGTATAACTTCAGTATGTATTGAACTACAGCTGTGCATGTTTCAGTATGTACATGACTACAGCTGTGCATGTGTATAACTTCAGTATGTATTGACTACAGCTGTGCATGTGTATAACTTCAGTATGTATTAAACACAGCTGTGCTGTGCATGTGTATAACTTATCTTGTATGTGTATAACAGTATGTATTGACTACAGCTGTGCATGTGTATAACTACAGTATGTATTGACAACAGATGTGAATAATTCAGTATGTACAGTATGTACTGACTACAGCTGTGCATGTGTATAACTTCAGTATGTATTGACTACAGCTGTGCATGTGTATAACTTAATCTTGTGCTGACTACATGACTACAGCTGTGCATGTGTATAACTACAGTATGTATTGACAACAGATGTGAATGTGTATAACTTCAGTATGTATTGAATACAGCTGTGCAGGTGTATAATACAGTATGTACTGACTACAGCTGTGCATGTGTATATCTTCAGTATTTATTGACTACAGCTGTGCATGTGTATAACTTCAGTATGTAATGACTACAGCTGTGCATGTGTATAACTTCAGTATGTACATGACTACAGCTGTGCATGTATACTTCTTGACTAACTTGTATGTATTGACTACAGCTGTGCATGTGTATAACTTCAGTATGTATTGACTACAGCTGTGCATGTGTATAACTAACTACAGCCGTGCATGTGTAAAACTTCAGTATGTACTGACTACAGCTGTGCATGTGTATAACTTCAGTATGTACTGAACACAGCGGTGCAAGTGTATAACTTATCTTGTACTGACTACATGACTACAGATGTGTATAACTTCAGTATGTATTGACTACAGCTGTGCATGTGTATAACTTCAGTATTGTGCTGACTACATGACTACAGCTGTGCATGTGTACA